GACCCCTTTCAAACAGTGTCGCGTTCCGAACGTTGTTTAAGCGACATATTGCGGTATTTTAAAACTTCATATCATAACAAAAATAAACACCGGTATCCGGTATGAACCAGTATACCGCCCAACACTATTATACCACCATCATATTCATGCCCTCCTCTATATGTCCATGCGGGGTTTGGTGCAAATAAACCTCTAGACCACCAAAACACACTCCATGTTCATAGGAAACAACTGAAATCAAACAATTGAACAGAGTGTAAAAACATCCTAAAAACCCAGAAGAATTTGGCAAGGTGTGTTACAAACAACCTTGTTTGCTGCTATGTTTACTACTGTAGGAGTGATGCCTTTACATGGTCAAAACAAGAAAAGAGAGTAAGGGGAACACTAATCCAGTTGTAGTGTAGAGGGATATTCAATACTCAGCATGCCCCATGTCCATACTTCATACCTCAATGGAAAGCAAAGATATCACTCAGTGGAATTAGAATCAGAGTTTACGCACAGCTCATTTGACATTGCTGATTGCTGCTTTAAAGCTCTTATCTGGGTTGAATCACTACAAGAAGAGCTCCAACTGAAATGAAAATAGGTGAAATAAGTAAAAATGAAGTAAGCTCAGAAATGCAACCAATATTCCAAACTAGCATAATAGTGCATAGAATATAACTTATTTTAAGGGTATTTTAAGCCATTTTAAATGTAGGTCACAAAATTTGTAAATAAATGATACATTGCAAACCTCTTCACACACCCTGGCGATATAATCTCCATTGGCTAATAATTTTCTTAAGTTTACTTGCCAGACTCTCATATATTCTCATTTACATCTCTCATATACCAATAATGCTTATAAGATAATAATGACTAATAGGCTAATAATAACAATAATACAAAACATGCTACTAATAACAACAACAACAACAACAACATAAAATGTGCCAAGGTCAAATGAGCTGCTGGATTAATTATTATTTATCACGTTGTCTGTGTTTGCTAAAACAGATTTGCTGAAATAAAAAATGGATCGTAATAGGAGAGTATTAAGGCCCGTTCACACCAAGAACGAAAACTATAAAGATAATTATATTAGCGTCCACACCAGTGGACGATATCGTCCGTTTATTCCAAGCAAACGCTCGTCTGCCGCTTTAAATTCTCAAGCTCGTTAAAGCAGGATTGATTCAGATGTTTTTATCGTTCATCAGCTGGAAAAAAAAATCGTTCTGAAAGTGATTCCAACGATATTGTTTCTCTGTGCCTTTATCGTTATAGCTGTGGTGTGCTATTCTTTAATATTTAGAACAATATCTTTATCGTTATCTTTATAATTATCATCCTTGGTGTGAACAGGCCTTTAGCCACTGGGATTGCCACATGCACAATATTCCCGCCCACTACTGAAGGAACTGTGGCTTCTACTTGTTCTTAAATGCTGGATAATTCTAAACAAACTCAGTTAATTTGACAGGAAAACTTGAGAAAGAAAATCATTCACATGATGTACATCAATTTTGTGTGGTATGTAAAATTCTCTCACTTTCCCTTTCTTTGCATGTGCATGAATAATGCACTGTAAAGACTAGGGCCGAGTATCGTTCAAAAATTTTCGATATCGATAACGATTCCAATACCTTGACTTTGATACCGGTTCCTGAACGATACTTTTTTCAATACCAATTTTATGAAATCCATTTTGACCAGATTATATTACACATTACCTCAAGAAAACTTACATTACACATTAGCTCATAAAACTATTTTTTCAGTTTGTTGAGGTTTTTACAGACTTGACTCTGATCTCCTGAGCCACTGCACAAAGGAACAAAAAAACACAGAGGAACAAAATGTAACCAACACAATAAATCAGTGCAAATAGTTTTAATAAAGTTCAAGTAGTTTTCAGTGAGAAATGAACAGTTTAAAGTCAGTAAAATCTTTAAATCACTCAGCAGTTCTACTTCAAAAAAAATTAGCATGTCCACTTTTTCAGGAGACAGACAAGCCCTCTCTTCACTGATGATGTCCCTAGGCCATGTTTACTAGGGCTGAAATTATTAGTAGACATTATCGACAACATCGACAATAAAAAATTGTTGTTCAAAAAAAGCATCCATTATATAATATCCATTTCTGCTGTCGCCAATAATTAGAGATGCACCAAAATTCCGGCTGCCGAAAATTAGTTCACTGCTCAGGTTTCACTTTCCTGTGGTGTGACGCTCTGCGTATTATACCGCTCTATGCGTGTGCGCTCCGCTCAGCGCTCCACTCATTTAACGTTCTTTAGAGCCCTGCACGGGCCTCAAATTTTATCAGAATTACCGGCCCGAGTCCGACCCGAGCCTGTCTTTTTTCCCCCTTCTCCCAAAACAGCTTATACTACTGTTTCAGCTATTAAAATAGTTCAGTTTTGCATGTAATGGCAAAGTTATTATATTTCGTTTCTTTTTTTTTATTATTAAGTTAATTTAGAAAAACGTTTGGAGCATTTTTTGTTCGTTAAATATAAGTTTTTCGGCCAACAGCAGACAGTGAGCCTGTTTGATCAATTTAGCCTTCGAATACAGAGATCATTACAAAAGGTAAGTAGCAAATGTATATGGAACATGAAGAGAAGGTGCCAAATATCATATTATTTGTTAACAAAGAAAATATTGATTTTTTTTTTCTCCTAGTGATTACCAGTTTGGTTATATGGATGGTAATGAATATATCAACGGTTTAATTATGGGGTGAGTTGAATTGGACACAAAGATTTTAGGAGTTGCAAAGTGCAGGAACTGTATTTAAAGCCATTGGCATTGATAAAAAGTCTACAAAAATGATATACATTACAGAAGTCTATTCTGTGCACATATTTTTTTGTATAATCACCACTAATATGTTTCTTTTTAGAGAAGTTGAGATGCCCTTCATCATTGTGTTAAATATGACCATTGATGGATACTGTCTACCAGAAAGTAAGATTGAGACCATTGAGGATTTACTTCGCTTCTTAAACAGTGTTCTGGATGGCAGTGCAAAGGTATGTGGAGGGAGATACTTTCCTGTCCGTCTTTTCTGTCACATTCCTGTGAAATACATTGTGCCTTTTCTAATAAAATTCATTTTTTTCCCCAATCAGCTACTCGGAGGAAATGGATTTTTGCAGCACACTAAACGAGTTTTTAATAAAGCAAGGTCTACTGTGGTGGTAAGACTGACTAACACTCTATTATTTTGGCAAAAGGATAGATTTACTCTTATTTAATTTTTCCCCAAAATATTTACTAAAAGCTTAACACACCAAAACCAAAACACATGGCTGATCACATCCTCATCAAATATTTACTTGAGGCTAATATTTAGGTCACAGTTGTCCTAGTAACTAATATAAATCTCCCTGATCTCAGTCAATGTTCCAGGCAGCTCCATTCTTCTCCTGTTTTGTGTTTGGACTACCAGTGGGTATAGTTGCGCTGGTTATCTGGCGTACATGTACTGCTGTACCAGCAGATGATGAGAAACCTGTGGAAGGAGCTGCAGCAAGTCCTGCTTTAGATGCACATGGGAGGAAGACAAAAGAAATGCAGCCTGACGGCATAGAAAAAACCTCTGAAGCAAAGAAAGAGGATTAACATGGACTGTTTACTTAAGATCGTGTTAATCTTTACAATATCATTACATGTAATACTGTTTTTTTTCTTTTTTATAAATTGTCTTCCCAGTGTTCAGTATATTGTTGATATTGTGGTTGCTTTCTTTATCAAATAAAGTTCATATACCTTGAATGAACATAATTTATTTTATTTAACTTCCCCTCCCCCTCCCCCCTGAAAATCTGTGGAATGACTTGAAGACTGCAGTCCACAAATGGTCACCATCAAATTAAACTGAACTTGAGCAGTTCTGCAAAGAAGAGTGGGCAAATTCTAGATGTGCAAAGTTAGTAGAGACAGATTACATTACATGAGAAATGCTAAGCAAGTGTAGCAATTAGCTTGATATAAAAGGCTACAAGTAACATATTTATGCAACATTAAATGGCCAAGACACACATTAGGTCACAATATGAAATTATTACAAACACTCGATGGTGGTTTAAAGTGAGTTTTGAGTAAAAGCACTACAGTACTACAGCACTAAGGTACTACAGTATGCATGAATGGTCACGTAGCATGCGTTTTCCTTGATGCCTCGCCAGAGCCAATCACTAATTTAGGCACATAAAGCATGCTGCATGCTTATTGGCTCACTGACTTTGATGAGATTAACCCCTTACGTATCGAAATTTGGTACCGAGCGACAAGACATTTTTCGAGACTCAATGGTATCGAGGCAAATCAGTCGGTGCCTAAAAAGTATTGAGCTCGATACCCAGCCCTAGATCGTTCGGTCTTTAATTTTATCACGATATTTCAAGAATATTTGCGATAATGATATTCATGACGATATAGAAAAAAACCTCTTTTGGAAGACCAAACAAAGTAGTTTCGCTTTCACAACGAAACACACAGCGTCACACTCAGCGGGCTAGAGGAACGGCCGGCGGGCTTGACTGAGCGGAGGCCGGCAGGCTTGAGTGAGGAACGGCCTGCGGGCTTGAGGCAACCACATGTGACAACCCCGGGCTTGACTCCGGTTTTGTCCACGGTGAAAGCCGATCCGGCGATCCACAGCGTGAAGTTGATGTATTTCCTCAGCGACCAGCACAGATCAGCTCCAGGCATGACGAAGCGGATATCGTCCTCTTTTGGAAGGCCAAACAAAGTAGTTTCGCTTTCACAACGAAACACACAGCGTCTTCACGACATGGTGGCAGCAACAATACTACAGCGAGAATAAAAGTTACGCCTTCTTTCTTTGCGTGAACATTTGGGCGGCGTTATGCAAATCTTCCCACATCTTGACGTAGATATGTGGGGGCGTGTTAGAACAAGCTGTTTTAGGTAGGCGTGGCTGACTCTTAACTTTTATAAAGAATATCTCTTTGGCTTTGAGACTTTAGTCTTTGCAACTTTACAGATCTTCTTTATGCACCAAGAGCTTGTAACACTTCAAAGAGAAAGGAAAAATTTAAATCGCATCTTATGACCCCTTTAAAAAAGTAATCAGTTATAGTTACTAGTTACTTCTCACAAATAGTAACCGAGTTAGTAACTGAATTGCATCATTATAAAAGTAACCAATTACCAGGGAAAGTAGGCTAACTATTGCGTTACTTTTTAAAAAAAAGTTCAAATGTGTCAAATAACACGGACGCCTCCAATATTAAATGTTAAATTAATGAAATGGACACTACATGGAATAAATTAGTATTTTTAAACATTGTAAACTAATACAAAACAACAATTTAAAAATATTTATTTAACAGTAAACATTTTTTTTTTAAGTAAAATAGTAAAATAATATTTTGTGGCCATTTTTGAGACCCCCTTCTTGAATCAGGCATGCAAATAAGATCCCAATTTGAACACTATGTGTGAATGTTATAATAAATGTATTAATAGAGCTGTTGTAATGATCATTTTTATTGTCTTTTTAATTTTATTTAACAGAATACCAGTAAAACTACAATAACATTTACTGAATTACTGAAGTCCTCAGTGCTTTTTTGTTGACAGCAGCAGATTTATAAATTATTCTCATTACTAATTTGGGAAGATGCACGTATCACATTGTCACATGCCTTGTAAAAATTCATAAAAAAAGATAGCGAGCAACTGACGAGTAACACCGTTTCAGTGCAGATTTCCCTCGCGGTTTGGACTTTGAACCCTGGCTAACGAGACAGCGTTTGAACACGTGCAATTCATGCGTGTATTAGAAAACATAACGTTCTGCAGTGTATTTAATTGTTTAAGGCCATTTCGCGATTTTAATCATCGTACAGTAACCAGCAACAACCACCCCTTCCTCTTCTCATCGGAGACATGAGATGCAGTACTAAACAGTCTCTAAGTAAACTAAGTCTCTCACTGTCGGTGCTTGTAATGATTTTTGCATCTTTCTCGGACAGTTTTACGCTTCCACACTGCTGACATGTTTGCTGCATTAGTGCGCACCTCTATTTGATCGAGTCACGTCATTGTTCGGTACAATTTATTCAGTCTTCAGGCCGAACACCGAAAAAGCTTTTTTTGCTATTTTCGGCTGAATAATTTCGGCTGCCGAATATTCGGTGCCTCCCTAGTAAATACGTCATTGCGTCGCTATATCATTGATATTGCGATATGACTTATTTATCATGTAAAAATGTATACCGGTGGTATCGTGGATGGTATGATATGGCACACCCCTAATTGCCAGTCAGAATAAATCCTGCTTTAAAGAGCTTGAGCATTTTTAAAGCTGAAAACTGCAGCGCACACTTATAATAAACAATGTTATTGTGCGTTGACATGGATGCTAATACAGATATTGTTATTATTACCTTTATAGTTATCGTTCTTGGTGTGAACAGGCCTTAATGTTGAGAAATTATGCCTTTTTTTTTTTGCCTGTGCTGTTGTTACCTGAGACTTGGGCTCGACAGTGTGAGCATTTCACTCGCATTTGAGACTAAAAATAAATGTGCGCAAACTGGAAAATGTATTTAGGAGCATGAGTGCGAATAAAATTTATTAAACATCCTAACTTACACAGTAGCCTATAACAAATGTATTAATTTCTTCAATTTATTTATGGAAAAACAGCGATAAAGCCTCATATGATTATTGAACTTTAAAAAGGCGACGATTTAATGTAAATAGCACAGATGAGAAGGCGGAACGAGTGAAGGAGACGCGGTGAATGTAAGTGCACATTCGGCACTAAAGGGCGCTGACGGAGGCAGAAATGCAGCCGTTATCCCGGTAACCCTGTAAACAAAGCAGCTGCTACTTTGTTTCAAACAGTCATTTAGATATTTATATTCGCTTTAGTCTAAACCATAGCACCAACTAATTAACACTTAAAGACTTAAGCTATTTATTTTCAAACTTAAGCTTTTTTATTTTATTTTAACCTAAAAGATGGCCTACCTATATATTGACTGATTTGTTATTATTGTTCCGTAACACTTAACAGGTTTCATTAACATTAGTTAACTACATTAGTTCACATGAAATAACAATGACTGCATTTATTAATCTTAGTTCATGTTCATTTTAACTTTTAATAATACATAAAATTAAGTTGTGCCTGCTAATATTTTCTAATGGAGCTAACAAGAACTAACAATAAATAGTTGTATTTTTATTAATCAACCTTAAATAATATAAATAACTGCAACAGTTAGCTATTGTACATTTTTAGTTAATGTTAACCTGCTTTAACTAAAGTTAACTAATGGGACTTTATTGTAAGGTGTTACCTAATGTTCTTTCGTTCACTTTAATCTTGAAACACTTGTTTATTTTATATTTGTGTATTTTTTAAATAAAGTCTTTCTTTAGTAAAATATCTTTAATAAAATTATTTAACAGGAGGACAACACTTTTTTTTACTTACTAAATTATATATTGCGATAAAACCATATACCATGATAAAAGCTTCAAAGACTATTGTATATGTACAATAGATGCTGATGCACCTGTATGTACATAGAAATTAATATGACTATAAATAATTACATAATTAGCCTATTAAATAGAGTCTGAAGCAAAATTATTTAAAAACCTTGTGTACTTTCTGTATTCTGATAAATTATATAATTGTGTTAGTAAATGTCTCCTTATATCCCCTTAAGATAAAACACATTATTTGAAAAATATGCATTGCGCCCCTAAATATTTTTAATGTGCTCCTAAATTTTTCAACTTAAGAGCACATGAAAAATATTTTTCAACTTGGGAGCACATGTGCTCCTTGGGAAAAAGGTAAGCGTCAAGCCCTGGAGTGTCCTGAAATTACCTCCGTTATCCATGAGGCACCTATAGAGATAGATTTCCTGTGTTTATGTGGCTGCATGTATTTATGACTGGTTAAACAAAGGAATTAAAATGTATACAAAACGTATTATAACGATTGCTTTTATATTATTAGTAATAGAAAGGCAAAC